AGAGAGAAACATGGATCAGCTGCCTCCTGCACACGCCCTCCAGGGCATCAAGCCCACAACCCAGGCAGGTGCCCTGAGCTCTTGGTGCACGGGACGACCCCAGTCACCTGAGCCACCGGCCTGGGGACTTGCGTTTTACCATAGGAGACAAGCGGTGCTTTAAAATCGAGGTGCACCCCATGAAGGGAGGCGTGATTGGTCGGCTCTCGGGGCCTAGGCTCCATCTGTTGGGACATTGTTTCTTTGTGTCTTTTCCGATTAGGAGATGCATTTCTTCTGGTTCTAGGAAAAGCGCAGTTTTCCCCATTCAGACTGATGATCACCTGACAAGTGCGGGACACAAATGCACCAGACCAGGAGCCGTCTGCGCTTCCTGCCTCCAGAGCAAGGCTGGCCGCGGCGGGCACCCTGGAGTCCGAATGTGGGCGCCTCCCAGGCCCCCAGCCTTGTCCTCAGGCAGCTCTGCTGGGGGAGTGGGCCTCAGGGGTGGGAGCAGTTGGGGCACGTCCTCGGGGCCTGGGGACCTTCGGGTCAGCGGCCCATCCCTCGTGCACCTGGGCAGGGGCAACAGTGCCGCGGGGGTTGCTGAGGATTTTGTTTTTTCTTTTTCTTTCTTTTAAAATATATTTTATTGATTTTTTACAGAGAGGAAGGGAGAGGGATAGAGAGGGTTAGAAACATCGATGAGAGAGAAACATCGATGAGAGAGAAACATCGATGAGAGAGAAACATCGATCAGCTGCCTCCTGCACACCCCCTACTGGGGATATGCCTGCAACCAAGGTACATGCCCTTGACTGGAATTGAACCTCGGACCCCCCAGTCTGCAGGCTGATGCTCTATCCACTGAGCCAAACCGGCTAGGGCTTGTTTTTTCTTTGTGCCTGTTGTTTCTAAGTCTTTACAGCAAACACGCAATGATTACTTTTGCAAACAGTGAAGGGATGTCTGCACTGGCGGCAAATGCACCTCCGACAGCTGTATCCAGCCACGCGCACCCCCCTCCGGCCCTTCCCACCCCGTGAGGCCCGGCCTCCTGCTGCGCTCAGGCAGGTGACAGAGGGTCGCCCCTCTGCAGGCAGCGCCGGCAGCACCCCCTCTGCTGGTTCCCTGATTCCAGCCCTCCCCCGCCCCTCCCTGCGCGTCCATCAGCTCGCTGAGGGGGGACAGTGACACCTGTGGCCACAGGTGGTCAGTGGATTTGCACCTGCACTTCCTCTACCTCCCGGGTTGCGGTTCCTCCTCGGAGGCCCTTGCGTCAGGTGTGTCCAGGGCCCAGGGCCCCCGCGCCCCCGCGCCTCAGAGCACACGCCTGGTCATCCTCTGCTCCACCCGCCTGCGCTGAGGCTACCGGAGGGTCACTGCGTGCCCCGCTCCCGCAGGTCTCCTGGGAGCCCCTGAATGGCCGGCCACTGGGTGTGTCAGGAGCTCATCCTCTGTGAGCACATCACCTGCTCCTGTGTCACACCCTCAGGTCTGGGACTCTGGGACCCAGGAGGGACCTGAGCTCTGCACAGGTGGATGGCAGGGGCCAGAGTCACATCCGGGACCTTCTCAGGCTCATCTAGCGGAGCTCTGAGACCAGCCCCTCATGAGCGTCCCTCACAACCAGACGGCCCCCACCCCCGGCCTCGGGACCCCTGCCCTGAAGAGCAGCCAGGCTCCTGGCTCCCAGGTATCCACCTTCCACTCCCACGCCCGCCGCACCATCGCGGAGCGTGCAGTGCTCAGGCGTGCGTGCTTTAGAAAGACCGTTCTCGGGAAATGACTGAGCGGCAGCAGGAGAGGGTGGAGTAATCGGTGCCAGGCGTGGCCGGCCCGGCCCGGAGGCGAGGGGGGTCCACACCACAAGCGGGGCCATGGGGTCTGTGTGGGGTTTGGATGTGGTGACAGAAAGGAATGTCACGGGGACTCCGGGCCTAAGCGGCTGGAGGGACACTCCTCCGGCCGAGGCGGAGCCCTCAGCAGGCCTGTGTTTGGAAGTTAATGGCCCAGGAGGGAAGACAGAACCTCCCTCATGGAACTGGGTGCTTTGCCTTGCCCAGGGTTACCCTGGGACCCACCGCCCTGTTCTCTGTGACGTGTGATGCTGTAACAAATGGGCCTGTGACGTAACAGCTCAGCCGCAATGCAGAGCTGTTTCCCTAATAGTCAGAGAGGGTCTCCGCAGGTTGTTGCGTATTTACAGACCTCCCTGTCCATTTTGATCACATCATGTTCATGGCATTTTAATATCTGGTAGGTCCAAAACTTCCTTACTAGCCTTTTCCAAAGTGTCATGGCAGTGCTCATATACTTACTTTTCTACTAGAGGCTCCAGTGCACAAAAATTCGTGCACACGGCGGGGAGGAGGAGGGGTCCCTCAGCCCAGCCTGCTCCCTCACACAGTCGACAGCCTTCAGGGGATGTCCTACTGATGGCTTAGGCCCACTCCCCATGGGAAGCGGGCCTAAGCCGCAGTCTGGCCTCCCTCTGCAGGAGGCAACCGGCTGATCAGGGGAAGACACTGCCCTGATCACCCTGCTGCCGCGGCTGCCCTCTGCCCTCCTTGGCCCTCGCAGCCGCCATGGCTTTGTCCATATTTAACAGCGGTTCTCAACCTATGGGTCACGAACAATGAAAATACATCCTGCATATCAGATATCTACATTATGATTCATAACAGTAGCAAAATTCCAGTTATGAAGTAGCAATAAAAATAATTTTACGAGGAACTGTATTAAAGGGTCGCGGCATTAGGAAGGTTGAGAACCACTGGTCCAGAAGGACATCTGGAAGGACTTTTGGCTGTCTGTTCTAATTAGCATATTATGCTTTTATTATTATAGATAGCAATTTAATATCAGTATGTCTAATAATTCCTCCAAATGTCCATTGGTATTTTTATTAGAATCTTACTACATTTACTTACACTCTTATCTTTGGAAATGATAAATTTTCTCACATCCAGGTACACAGTATGTCTCTCCATTCATTCCAGTCTTTCTGTAATAACCTCCCATACAATGTGTACATTTCTTGATCGAGGTTTGCACTCAGCAGCCTTGTCCTCTGTGTGACTGTGGAGTTAGTTCACAGTACAGTTTCTAACTGGTTATAATTACTACTAGAGGCCCGGTGCACAAAATTAGTGCACTGGTAGGGTCCCTAGTGGCTGCCGGGGCCTCCCTCCCTTCCCCCGGCCGGCCCCGCCCCCTGGTCAAACTCCGGAACAACCTCCCAGTCAAGGGGACAATTTGCATACTAAGCTTTTATTATATGGGATTAAAACCCAGTGTTGTTTTGTCATGTGTTTAGCTTGGATCCAGCCACTTTCCTGATGGTTTTGAGATTTTCTAGTTGTAGACTCCTACCCACAAACAAGGATAAATCTTATTTTTTCAATGTTTATTTCTGCTGAAGCTTCATTTCACCATCTTGCCTTATCCCAGAAGCTGGAGGCCCTGAGCGTGTGACTAGCAGGGCCGACAGGTGCCTCTCTCGTCTCTGACTCTGATGGAAATGCTTAGCGTTTCACCCACATCGTGTGCTTGCAGATGGCGCCTAACAGGCTCACTGTGGGCCAAGTAGCCACGAGGGACGTGCACCTCGTTTCTCCATGGTTTGTCCTTTCCAGTCCACTCTGCACCATTTCTATCAGGGATGGCGGCCGGGACTTGATGCCTTTTGCCCTCTGTTGACATGAGCTTTGCTAATGGAAGGAATGGAAGGATTTGCTAATTCTCAAAGATCCTTATGCTTAGAATAAACCCTGCTTAAACGGGGTGTGCCGGTCTTAAATGTGGTGCTAAACATTCCTAGTGGCTTTCTTTTAAAAAATATTCATGTCTTTGCATTAATGTCCATAAATTAGGTTGGTTTATATTTTTTCCTTAAAGTATTTGCTTTATCCTATTTTTCTGTTAGGTATTAGGGTGGGGTAATCTATAGCCAACTGGGCTGCTGTGTCTCCTTTTCCATATTCTGGAATACTCTGACTAATGTGAAAATTATCTAGTTTTTGTTGTTGTTAATTCTCACCCAAGGATATTTTTTTCCATTGATTTTTAGAGAGAGTGGAAGAGGGAGGGAGAGACAGAGAGAGAGAGAGAAACAGCGATGTGAGAGAGACACCTCAATTGGTTGCCTCCCGCACACGCCCCTGCCCCACCCACTCCGGGCCTCTCTCCTCGCCGGAGTCTCAGGGCCAGCTGCCCCCATGGCTTCGCCCTCTGAGCCCCGTCTCCCACGCCTGACTTCCTCGTGGAGCCCAGTCTCGCTGGTGCCCCCAGGACAGACAGAGATCCTCGCGTCTCCAGCCTCCGCTGATGGTCACCAGTCCCTCCCCCTTGTCTGCTGGTCCTCTTGTCCCATCTGCCCACTTCAGGCTCAGCGGGTGCTGAGTGTGGGCTGCTGCCCTCCCGGGCCTCCCACCTCACCTCCCAGGAGCCCTCTGTGGCCCCTGTTCCCGGGCCCTTTTCCCCGGAGCCCAGGCTGTCCGGCCCCCAGCACCGTGGACAGCGTCACAAGGCCGGAAAGGGCCGCTCTCCCACCTCCCAGTGCCCCGCGCCCCCTCGAAGGGTTCCCACGTGAGGGGCCCTTAGCCAGGAGCGGGGCTGCAGCAGGGACAGCCCTCAGCACTGCCCTCTGATTCCTATTGTGGTGAAGAAGGGAGTCCGAGATGAAAGCAGGCGGCAGGCCCGGCCCTGGTGAGCCCCTTACCAGGCAGAGCAGGCGCTCACTGCCCTCCTTAGAGGGACGGAGACCAGCGAATGGACGCGTGAAAGCTGGGCCCGCCAGGCCGGCCCTGTCGCCCTGCCCTGTGGGGGGACTCAGTTCTGCTCCTTTATGAAGCTAAGTAGGAGCCCGTGTTCGGGGCCTGTGTAGACCCGTGTCAGGGCCGCCTTGTCTCCAGGCCGTCTTCCGCAGCTGGGACTCCCGGGACCTGCGGGTGACGGGCCCAGAGCCCAGGGACCATCTGTATTTACTAATCGGATCCATTTCCATTCTCTTTTCCCAGAATGCCTCTGAGTGGGCCGAGAAGATGCCCAAGGGCCCGCCCCCCAGGTCTCCCAAGGAAGTGGCCAACCGCGAGATCCTGGCCCGGCTGCACAGAGCCGTGGAGGCCCGCTACCAGGCCATCGCCCAGGAGTTCCAGAACTTCGACACCGCGAAGGCCGGCACCGTCTCCCGGGAGGAGTTCAGGGCCATCTGCACGCGCCACGTCCAAGTGCTGACGGACGAGCAGGTAGTGGGCGTTGGGTTGGCGCCCTGAGCGGGGCCTGAGCAAGGCCACCTCCCCACGCCAAACTCTCCTTGTGAAATGCCTGAACGGTGGGGGTTTGGGTTTTGTTTGTTCTGGGGAGGGACTGTGGCTGTGGCTGGTTTGTTTTCACCTCACTGAAGACTCGCAGAGCCCTCTGTGTCTGCAGCAGGCATGGATGGCACCATTTCTATCGGAGCAAAAAGGATCACTTTTATTTTTTATTCTTTTACATATATTTATTGATGCAGAGAGGAAGGGAGAGGGAGAGAGGGATAGAAACATCAGTGATGAGAGAGAATAATTGATTGGCTGCCTCCTGCACATCCCACACCGGGGATCGAGCCTGCAACCCAGACATGTGCCCCTGACCGGGAATCGAACCCCGGACCCTTGAGTCCGCAGGTCGACGCTCTATCCACTGAGCCAAACTGGCTAGGGCTCACTTTTATTTTTAAAGTCAAATTGCCTTTAGCTCCAGCCACCACTGTGCTGCTCCTCGCCCCTGGAGCAGCCCTGGGCGTGGGAGAGCAGAGGCCAGTCCCGCCCGACCGACCGAGCGGCCCTCCTGGAGCCTGCAGGCGGCTCGTCCGTCCAGCTCCCGCCTCACCCTCCTTGGTCCTTGGCTCTGCGGCTGGGCTCCCGGATGCTCTGGGGCTGCTCCCCACGCCCGCTGCGGGCATGCCACCCCGGCTGTCCCACTGTCCACAAGCGACAGGGTGCCACTCCCACCCCAACAACGAGAAAAGGCCAGATACCTGCACAATCAGAACTTCTCGAGCCCGTCGGAGAGCTGAGGGTGCGGGGGTGCTTGCTCCTCACTGTACCCCAAATGCAAAGCGGAACCTGGCACAGCCGGGGCCCAGCAGGTCCCGGGAGTGAACAGTGTCCGGTGTAGGAGCACCCCCTACCCCCGAAAGCCAGGGACCGAACAGCTGACAGCACAGCACCAGTGACCCCCTCGCAGAAGAGGGTTTCCCTGCACCCCAAAATGCTGCCCTGGTACAGGCCCGCTCCAGTCCTCAAAGACACCATTGCCCGGTTCCCGAGGGTAACTCGGGTGCAGAAGGAAACCCCACATACTGTGGAGGCCGCTCCCCCGCTCCTCCTGGTCCTGCTCAGGCTCAGCCCGGAGCCTCCTGCAGGCCCGTGGAAATGTCCCCCTCCCCTGGAAGCTGGGTCCTCCCCTCATTGGAGGAGTGTCCACGGGGAGGGGCGGTCAGCAAGCCGCCCTCACCCCTTAGGCCGGGACCTCACTACCCAGAAGGATGAAGTCGTCAGAGACACTCATCAGATGAGCATCAGACTTACCTTTGCTGAGACATCAGCATTTTCAGGCGTTCTGATGCTTTTGGCGAAATAACATGAAACGCTAGTCCCAATGATTCTGTCCCCTCGAGCAGGAACTGCTGTCACTCTAAGCGAGCGAAGCCTTTCAGATGAATACATGCGCATTTCTTATTCTACGGGCCACCTAATGAAGGCTCTCCTAATAAAGGCTTCTCATTGAACTGGGTACAATTTTACTCTAATTATAGATGGGATGAATGGCGCTCTGCATATGTGCCGTTCAGAACAGGGAACTGGATGTTAATTTTCCTCTAAGAGCTTCACCGTCCCCAGCGCATCGGCCCCTCCCCCCAGTCAAGCACGTATGTGTAAAGGCTGCTTCCTACAGACACGCAGCCCGTCTCCGCCACGGCCTGCGTCCCCGCAGTCAGGCCCGCACGACGGGACGGCGTGAGCTGGGTGGCGACTGGCGGAGACTGTGCTGTTTGGGAAGGTGGTCGTTTCTCCAGGCCCCTCCCTTCCCCCCACCCCACCAGTAGCTTTTCCTCAGGAACCTACATCTGCTGCACCGCTCAGCTCCTGGCTCTGCAGTGGGTCCAGGAGGTGTGACCTCCGGGGAGATGGGGTGGAGGGGACGGGGGACCCCTCCGTCCCATTCTTGCAACTTCCTGCAAACCTATGATTAGTTTGAAAGAAAAAGTTAAAGAAATAAATCAGGAATATTGTCCTCAACTAAACCATCTTCCCCTCTTGGGGCCAAGAACATTCTCCCTTCACCCCTCACCCTTCACCCCTCACCGCGTCATTCCCAGAATTCCAAATAGACCTGGAATAGACGCGGTCCCTTTCACTTGCTTCTGGAAAACCCCAGGGGAGCCCAGGAGCGACTTGGGTTTCTGGCCAACGCCAGGTGCGTGGGAAGGACGGGGACAGGCCCTCCTTTGCTGATCGGAGCTGCTGCTCCCCCACATGTGCCGGAGGCGGGGCTCCACGGGGCCTTAGGGTTATAAAAACACAGTTGCAAGCAAGTTACATCCTTCCTGGCGCCCTGAAGGCCCGGGCCCATTTGCAGTGGCTCCTTCGGGGGGCACTGGGTCATTGGCTGTGTCCGTACCACTGCATGTGGCTCTGTCACAGCCCGTGATACCAGACAGCGCCCGGGCAAGGCACGAGCCTCTCCCGGTATCCCAGACGCCTGCCTTGCCACCGGTGTGAGGCAGCATTACCTCAGGGGTAAACTGTGGAGGCCAGCACAGGCCGAGGGCTGTCACGGGGAGCTGCCTGCAGAGCTCGGGTGCCTGCCGGGGGAGGAGGGAGCCAGGTGCCTGCAGGGGGAGGAGGAGGAAGAGGAGGAGGAGGAAGGAGTCAGGTGCCTGGAGGAGGAGGAGGAGGAGGAGGAGGAGGAGGGTCACTAGAGGTATATGAGGAAGAGGAGGAGGGAGGGGAAGAGGGGGGGGGTGGGGGGGAGGGGGGAGGAGGAGGAGGAGGAGGAGGAGGAGGGAGGAGTCAGATGCCTGGAGGAGGAGGAGGAGGAAGGAGTCAGGTGCCTGGAGGGGGAGGAGGAGGAAGAGGAGGGAGCCAGGTGACTGGAGGAGGAGGAGGAGGGAGTCAGGTGCCTGGAGGGGGAGGAAGGAGGGAGAGGAGGAAGGAGGGGGAGGAAAGAGGGGGAGGAGGAAGGAGGAGGAGGAAAGAAGGAAGAGGAGGAGGGAGTCTGGCTGGGCAGGCAGGACCACAGGCCAGGGGTTGGCTCCGCTCATGACTGATCACAAGGTTTCAGGCCTTAAACTGCTCACGGAGGCCCAATCAATTTAAAAATGTCCCTCAGAGCCATGAACATCCTCTTGTCCTCGCTTGTTCAGGCTTCTGGAGGCTCCACCGAGCGAGTGGAGGCTGAATCGGTTTTCTTTCTAAATTTTTTATTGAGCTGGAGCCCCACCCTCATGAGGGCTGCCTCCCTGGGCGGGGTTCCCAGTGGTCTGCGCTGACCCTGGGCCTGCCCTCTGCTTCCTCGCAGTTCGACAGGCTCTGGAAGGAGATGCCGGTCACCGCCAAGGGGCGGCTGCGGTACCTGGACTTCCTGAGCAGGTTCAGCTCCGAGAAGACAGCCACCCCGCCCAGCAGCGGCGACTCAGCCAAGGCCCACAGAAGGTGCGACGTCCCCGCCACCTCGGAAGGAGGCAGAGCTGTGGGGTCACCGCCCACCGGAGACTCCCCGAAAGCAGGGACCAAACCGCGGAGCCAGCAGTGTGTGAGTTCTCACTCCTGGGGTCCATGTCGCCTTGCCCAGGCCCGCAGGCCCCCTGGTGGGTCCCCTGTGTTCCCACGGGTGTGGGTGCCTGGGGAGGCGCACAGGGGAGCCTGGGATGGGGTCATAGGGCAGGAGCCGACCTGAGGGGAGGAAGGGGGGAGGGAAGGGGTGAGTAAGGAGGATTGGAGGCAGGAAGAGGTGTGGGGAGACAGGGGACTCATGGCAGCCAGGCTGCCATCATCCCGGCCAGAAAGCCGAGAAGGTGGGTGGTGCCCTGTGCCCCAGGGAAGCCTGCCTCCCCCGCTCCACAGTGCACATGCCTCACGCACTCAGGGTCCCTCAGACGGTACCTGGAGACCCGATTTCAAACCCCAGCCTGTCTGACTACAGCCCTGGCCAGCCTGGTGAGGGAGGGGCGGCCCCGAGGCCCCGCCTCCTCAGCAGGAAGAGTGACAGCGTGTTGGGGAGGGTGGCTGAGAGGTCAGCCGCCATGGTGCCTCCCTGGAGGACACAAAGTTGTCCTCGGCGTACATGCACCCACGGGAGCTGGTCCTCTCCATAGCTGAGAAGAGCAGTGCCTGCCCTGCGGGGCCCACGGGCGCGGGGGGTGGCGGGGGTGGTGGGCAGCAAACAGTGAACGCGAGAAGTTAAAGATGGCGCGTAGAGAAGGAGGGGTCAGGAGCCCCCGAAGATGTCCCCGACCCAGTGCCCGGCCTGGGACAGGTCGCCGCACATGGCAGGGGTCACGGTCGCAGGTGGAATTAGCTGCTGATCCGCTGACTAGGACAGGCCTTTCCAAGCCCCTGCAGGTGGGGCCTGCAGGTGGGGACCAGGGAGGTGAAGGGTCCCGTGGAGAGGTGCGGTTTGAGAAAGATGAGCCGACATCGTGGGCTCTATAGGGGACAGGCCAGAACTAGGGTCTCCCTCTGGCCCCAGGAAGGCACAGCCCTGCCCACACCGCAACCTCTGGGAGAGGGTAAGTGGGTTGTTTCAAGCCACCAAGTCTGTAGGCCTGTGAGAGCTGCCACAGGAAACGCATGGCCTCGGGTGTCCAAGCGCAGGCCTGACTCAGCGGCGGGGCTGCACGTGTGCATGAGGCTTGGGCTGCGGGTGCGGAGGGCGGGCAAGGCGGGCGGGCGCTGCGGGCTCAGAGCCTCGTGGCCCCGGGCTGGGCCCATATCAGACACTCGGTGCGTCTCTGAGGCGGAGAAAACAGGACGTCCCGACCCTCTCTGTGTGGACTGTGAGGAGGCAGGGGAGCCCGGGAGGGGACGGGAGGACGGGCCTGTCATCGCCCCAGATGGGGCGGCACAGGCAGCAGAGGGTTTGGCAGAAAGACCAGGAATTCAACCGAGTTGGTCACATAGTAGACAACCATGCGTTGGCCAGGTGTCCAGGTAGCGTTCAGGGGGACGTCTGGGCCCGATTCAGTTCTGTTTTTAAGTGGAAAATAGTCCCTAGCTGGTTAGGCTCAGTGGGTAGAGCGTCAGCCTGCAGACCAAAGGGTCCCGGGTTCGGTTCCGGTCAAGGGCGTGTACCTTGGTTGCAGGCTCCTCCCCAGCCCAGGCCCTGGTTGGGGCTCGTGCAGGAGGCAACCAATCAATGTGTTTCTCTCACATTGATTTTTCTCTCTGTCTTTCCCTCTCTCTTCCACTTTCCCTAAAAGTCAATGGAAAAATATCCTCAGGTGAGGATTAACAAAAAATGGAAAACACAACACAAGAACAGCCTCCTCCGTGGTCCACAGAATTTCAGGGCACCCCATATTCCAGGGCGAGTACAGGGTGGGCGTCCCTGCAAATGACAAGTGAGTCCCTTTCTTTCATAAGACACTTCACCTGGTGAAACATGTCATTGTCACTTCACACGCACACGCACCAGTGACACTGAATTCGCATCTCTCTGTATTTGAATCGTGGCTACATACTTATTTCCGAAAGTACTGCAGTCACTGTGATTTGGCACAAACACAGCCCACCAGCGGAAACACAGGTTAAGCGGCAAAACTACCATCTATGTTTGCTCCTCATTTTATTTCTGAGATGATACTGCCTGTGAGATTGCAAATCTCACCCCCGGAGTCATGCTGTAGATTGTTGTTATTCCTCCCGTTCTAACCCTTCAATGAGACAGTTCTCTCTCCGCCCACAGACGGCCAGCAGCTCGGGCTCCGTGCTGGGCACCCCACAGCTGCAGAACTGCGAGCCCATCGAGAGCCGGCTCCGGAGGCGGGTGCAGGGCTGCTGGCGTGAGCTCCTGCGGGAGTGCAAGGAGCGGGACACGCACAGGCAGGGCGACATCCCCGCGGCCGACTTCCTGGGTGCGTCCGGCCGTCCCGGGTAACACAGGGTCACCTCCAGGCACAAGGCCCTTCCCCGGGGGGAGGCATCTGGGTGGCGAGGGCAGGCTGAGACCTTGATAGACACAAGTGTGGAGGGACAGGGACGCCCAGCCCACCTGGACTCCCGCTGAGCGTCACCCCTGCGTTAGAGCACAGACCTGGCTGGGGTCCCGGGGGTGTGTGCATGTTAATGACTGACAGCGACAGACAGCAAGGGGCGGGACAGGCGGAGACAGGGAAGCCAGGTGCGCAGGCCCCACACAGCTCCCAGTGACTCACTGTGCAGCACTTGGACACTCCCACCAGCTGTTGCATATGGTTTTTGCAGCATTTTAATTCCAGGGACATCGATCTGACCCCTCACCCCTCTGCCTGAAGCCCTCAGCTCTGTCTTCTTGACTGATGTCCTTGACTGATGTCCTTCTCAGGAAAGCATTTTTCTTGGGAAACCCAGTATTCATAGAATTTACTTTTGTGATAGCCATGGCCTCAAAACACACAAACGAAACAACGTGTAAACTCCTTACGTGAACAGTTCCTACCCCAACACACACAAATACAAGAATATGAAATCAGTAATAATCAATGTTGTTCCGTTGATTTCATGGCCACGACTGCTGCTTTGCCTGCCTGAGTTCCTCGTGTTCTTAGTTCTTTTCATTTTGAGCCGCATGGGCCTAAATTTGTGTTGTCATTAGCAGCATCGCTGTTTTGCCTTTTTAACCAGGAACTCATTTCAGCCACCGAGCCTTACTCAGACAGGCTTGCCTGCCTTAGTATTCCATTCAAATTCAACACCGTAAAAATGTATCCGAAGTCATTCTACATTCTCTGCCCTGCTGGTGGCCTCTGCAAGTTGGAGCACCAGCAGCACTTGCTAACAGTTCCTCTAGGTTCCATAGCCCCACCCACGACCCCCAGCTTGTCCCGTGGCTCCGTGACCTCGGTGCAGGGCGCAGGGACCCCTGCCGCGCATGCACGCTGGTCTCCCGGCTGCGCTCGGTTGATGCATCTGTTTCCATAACGTCCACTTGTGTTGGTGTTGCTCCTCAGCCTCAGTAACCAGCTAGCATTGCCCTCCTCCATACTTAGTTACTATGTGATGTCACAGGGAGTCTCACTGATCCACCTTAAACTAAAACCTGGTGCTCTGGAGTCCCCACGCTCAGTCACCACTGCAAAAGCAGCTGGAGCTTTGTCGCTGGTCAGAGCTGCGCCTGAGAGCGAGCGAGTGGGGAGCTGGGAGCCTGGCACCGACACGTGCCAACCTCGGGGCAGCTGGAAGGACCCACTGACGTGGCGTCCACATGGTCCTCGTCAGAGCCCAGACTTAGCCCTGACCTGCATGGCGCGCCCGAGATCGCCCCTGACATGAGAACTCATCGCCTGCGATCCGCACAGCCGCCGCACCCCTGGGAGTGCACCTCCGAAGCCGGTCGGAGGCCCAGTCTGAGCTCCAGGCCCACACTTGGCACTCGGAGCTGCCTGAGCCCTCACACAGGCTCGGCCTGACTCAGCCTTCGTTCTGACAGTTCCCTCCCCGGACCCCCCACTCTGCTCTCCCTGCCCACTCCTTGGTCGTAGCTCCCATGGCACTCTGTCCACACTGCTGTGCCCTGGCGACGGGGACTGCGCAAAACCAGATGGTGGGGCCAGCAGGCTGCGGGGTCCCCTCCCTCCATGCCACACTTAGCTTGCCCTGTGCACGTCTGTTTCCACTCTGTCCAGCCACCGCCCATGAGCCTGTGAAACGGGTCTCAAGCAGAGATGGCACCTCAGCAAGTGATGAACAAATGAATGAACGAACGAACGAATGAATGAATGAATGAATGAACAAAAGAATGAATGAATGAACAAATGAATGAATGAGCGAATGGATGAATGAATGAACAAGCAAATGGATGAATGGATGGATGAATGCAGTGCCACCGACGGAACTGCACTCTCACCCTTAGCTCTCGCGGAGAAATTCAAGCTGGATCTCAGCAAGGAGGAGAGCCAGCAGCTGACGGTGAAATACGACCTCAAGGACAACGGGCGGTTTGCCTACTGCGACTTCCTCCAGAGCTGCGTCCTGCGGCTGAGGGCCAAGGAGACCTCGCTGATGCAGAGGATGAAGATCCAGAACGCAGACAAGATGGTACGAGGCTGGCCAGGAGCACGTGCGGGTCCGGGGGTAAAGGGTCCCATGTTCCCCAGCTCATCACGAGTTTGCATCCCCTCGCTTCCTGTAAAGGTGGGCGCAGCGATGCAGAGGCTGCGGGAGGACCCCCTATCGCAGTGGTTTTCAACCTTCTGGCCCTTTAAATACAGTTCCTCATGTTGTGACCCAACCATAAAATTATTTTCGTTGCTACTTCATAACTGTAATGTTGCTACTGTTATGAATCATAATGTAAATATCTGATATGCAGGATGGTCTTAGGCGACCCCTGTGAAAGGGTCATTCGACCGCCAAAGGAGTCGCGACCCACAGGTTGAGAACCGCTGCCCTATCGGGTGTCGCCAGCCTCGCTGCCACCTGGATAATATAAACATGTACACATGTGTGATATATGTATGTACACATATGACGTGTGTCCATGCACTTGTCAAGCGATCCTTTGCTACCTCACGTCCTCCATTCCTTAAGGCCTGTCCAGCTCCGGGCAGTTGTCAGGTGAGCGGATAGCCACTGGGTCAGGCCAGTGGGCCTGCAGCCAGTGCCTGGGACGCGGGAGCTCGGGCGGGGAGGCGGGACCTCTGGGTGAAGGTGAGTGCCCATCGGGCTTTGGGAGCACGCAAACAGCTCCAAGTGTCCTCCCTTGGAAATGCTGCGAAGACTTCCTTCCGGAGACCCAGACGGGGGGCCAGTCAGTAGCCTGAGTCCCAGGTTCTCCCACTCACGGTGGCAGACACCTGGTTGTCATGGCTCTTCCCAGACCGCCCGGACCATGCGTGTGGCAAACAGGGACAGCGCCCGCTGCCTGGAGAGCGATGGGCCGGTTCCCTGAAAAGGCCAAGCTGGGGTGGAGGTGCAGGGGGCAGGCAAAGGGAAGCCTTTACAACGGGAACATAGTGCATATCCGCGCATCCGCCATCCAAGACGGCCTCTCCGGGGGGAGCGGGGAGTCCCCATCTTTCCTGCATAAACCACACCCACCGTTTTCTTCTGTTTCTGTGAAGGGGAAGAGGACCTAAGTGCTGAAATAGCAGGGGGCACCCTCCCCCATGTTTAGCTTTTCCTCGATCATTTGCAGTTGAATGGCCCTCGCCCTCGCCCTCACCCTTCAAGCACGTGTTCACCCACTCACCTTCCTCAGATCCTTCCAAAACATGAAGCAAATCAAGGCGTCTCTGGGGGGGGAGGGGAGGGAGGGGCGGGTCCGACTGACTGTGTTTATGGGAGTGATGGCTGCTCCCAGGGCCTGCTGGGAGCCTGGGCCTCCAGGCAGAGGGCCTGACCACAGCCCAAACCCAGTGGTTCAGCCCTGGGTGTGACTGACAGGCGGTGCCCGCGGCCTGGTCCAGCCCATCCTGACCCCTCTGCATAGCCAGCAGGCTCCCAGCGGAGAAGCTAAAGCGCCATTTCTCTGTCTGGTTCTTTGGGGGCCTCCTCTGCAGCCTTCAGCAGCTGGGGGGCTGCTTTCCTCAGGGGCCTCCTGGGTTGGGAAATCCCTCTCTGGCCCGGCTGGGTGCGGGAGAGCCAGCGGGCAGAGTCCGCCGCGTTCTGCGCAGGCGGATCCGCCGGGCGTGGTGCTCACAGTGCGGGTAACATCAGACTCCCCCAGCGCTCGGTGTTGCCCACAGCTCACCCCCTGACACTCGGCCGGCACTGGGCGGAGGCTAGACTAGCGGGGCTCCACCTAATCGCCCCTAAATGAAATAACCACAGTGTCTCATTACTAGATGTAATTACAGCCTTGCCATGTAAACACCTGTGCGTTATGGTAACCGCTAAGGAACCCGCACTGAACCCTCTTCTGTCCGAAAACTCTTTGGAAGTTGGCGGGTAGCTGGGTCCTCCCTCCAGGGCATGGGAGGGGCTCCCAGGGGAGGGCGTGGCCACTGCTGGAGGCCAACAGCCCAGTCAGTCCCCACCCCTCCTCCTCACCTCTCCCAGCCTCCATTGCCCAATCCATGAAATGGGGGTGGAGAGACCTACCTCCTCCCAGCTTGGGGAGGAGGGGAGGAAGGTGGAAATGAAATGGTGTTTTCAATAGCCCCACACAGCAGCTGTGAACAGCGGGGTGGCGGCCAGCCTTGTTATGAGTTCCGCTCCATTCTGGCCGGGAGCCAGCCTGTGGGGCGCGCAGGGCGAGGGGCGCGCAGGGAGCAGGGAGGGGGCACAGGGAGGGGGCAGTGGGGATGAGCAGGGGGCTCACAGCCGGCTCCCCACTCCCCAGGCGGCCTGTCCACGGCACCTGCCCAGGCAGCGCCCCTTTCTCACGCTCCTGGCGGTTTCCTTTTTCTCTTTTCCAGAAAGAAGCCGGGACCGAGACGTCCTCCTTCTACTCGGCGCTGCTGCGCATCCAGCCCAAGATCATGCACTGCTGGCGGGCCATGCGCCGCACCTTCAAGTCCTACGACGAGGCGGGCACGGGGTTCGTGGGGGTGACTGACTTCCGGAAGGTGAGCCTCTGAGCGGGAAGCAGGTGCCACATACCAGTGGCTGGGCCGGTCCCCAGCGAAGGCCCGCGTGGGAGCTGCTCTCCCAGACCCCACTTCCTGGGACCCCAGGTTATCGAGGGCGCAGTGCTGCCCTCACCCACAGGCCCCAGGTTCTCCCCCGAAGGCTTCTACACCCCCCTGGGGACACCCCTCAGGGCCCACACCAGAGCCAGCTGCCCCTGGCCCCCGGCGGGCCTGCCCTGGCCTCTGTGGGGACCCAGGGCCCAGTTTGCCTCACAGAACCCACAGGACAGAATTGGAGGGGCTGACGCGAGGTCCCAGCCGTGGCCACGCAGAGGCCGGCAGCCTGGCCCTGCCTCAGGGGCGCCCCGTGCCCCCAGCTGCCTCCAAGGCAGCACGCTCACCCCCACGCAAGGGTCTGGCTGAGCAGTGCCCTCTACAGTCTGACTGTGGTGTCGCTAATGCCCTCACGAGAGAAAATGGGGGAGAGAAGAGGAGGGGGTGAGGGCTGCAGGGGGCACACTGGAGGGGGGTACACTGGAGGGGAGGCACACTGGAGGGGGAGGGCACATTGGAGGGGGATACACTGGAGGGGCATACACTGGAGGGGGATACACTGGAGGGGGATACACTGGAGGGGGATACACTGGAGGGGGATACACTGGAGGGGGATACACTGGAGGGGGATACACTGGAGGGGGATACACTGGAGGGGGATACACTGGAGGGGGATACACTGGAGGGGGATACACTGGAGGGGGATACACTGGAGGGGGATACACTGGAGGGGGATACACTGGAGGGGGATACACTGGAGGGGGATACACTGGAGGGGGATACACTGGAGGGGGATACACTGGAGGGGGATACACTGGAGGGGGATACACTGGAGGGGGATACACTGGAGGGGGATACACTGGAGGGGGATACACTGGAGGGGGATACACTGGAGGGGGATACACTGGAGGGGGATACACTGGAGGGGGATACACTGGAGGGGGATACACTGGAGGGGGATACACTGGAGGGGGATACACTGGAGGGGGATACACTGGAGGGGGATACACTGGAGGGGGATACACTGGAGGGGGATACACTGGAGGGGGATACACTGGAGGGGGATACACTGGAGGGGGATACACTGGAGGGGGATACACTGGAGGGGGATACACTGGAGGGGGATACACTGGAGGGGGATACACTGGAGGGGGATACACTGGAGGGGGATACACTGGAGGGGGATACACTGGAGGGGGATACACTGGAGGGGGATACACTGGAGGGGGATACACTGGAGGGGGATACACTGGAGGGGGATACACTGGAGGGGGATACACTGGAGGGGGATACACTGGAGGGGGATACACTGGAGGGGGATACACTGGAGGGGGATACACTGGAGGGGGATACACTGGAGGGGGATACACTGGAGGGGGATACACTGGAGGGGGATACACTGGAGGGGGATACACTGGAGGGGGATACACTGGAGGGGGATACACTGGAGGGGGATACACTGGAGGGGGGCACACTGGAGGGGGCCACACTGGAGGGGGATACACTGGAGGGGGGCACACTGGAGGGGCCACACTGGAGGGGCCACACTGGAGGCAGCACCAGGTGGCGCCCGCCCACCTGGCAGCCGCTCCCGCAGGTGCTGCGGCAGTACAGCATCAACCTGTCGGAGGAGGAGTTCTTCCACATCCTGGAGTACTACGACAAGACGCTGTCCTCCCGGCTCTCCTACAACGACTTCCTGCGGGCCTTCCTGCAGTAGGCGTCCGCGCCGACCCGGACACGGTGAGCCGGCCGTGCCCACGACGAACCAGACCCTGTAACCGGGGCCTCGTGAACGGTCAGACTGTCGCCAGGAACCAAACAGCCCACCGAGCCTGCATCCTCACGGTCAGCGGCTCAGCACTGCCCTCGGTCCCCACGCTGGGACCGCCTCTCGGGCGGCCTGCCATCGCCCGAGCCTCAGGCCCCTCACTAGTCTGAGCAAATAAAGATGTTTCCTCTGCAGAAAGGGCTC